ATCTGAAGAAGCAATAAACCTACCTGGATCAGCACACGTCTGGAATTTAGTGAACCAGAATCTTGATACATAATAACACTGCACACAGGGCTGGCGGAGGACATGGAAGTAGGTTAATTTAATCATAAATAATTATTGGATGGATTTTAACGTGATATCGTTAATCTAATAGTACTGATATGAATATTTATTGCATGGTTTTTAACGTGATATCGTTAATTTAATAATACTGATATGAATAATTATTGGATGGTTTTTAACGTGATACCGTTAATTTAATAATACTGATATGAGTAATTATTGGATGGTTTGTAACGTCATATCGGTGGCTAATTCTCTCTCTTACCTCGGGATTTCTCATCATGTTAAACAACCACTGTCGTTCTTTTGAAGCATCTTCGCTCACTTTTCTACAAACAATGCAAATACCGTTATTACCTAGGGTAGGGTAGGGTGTTAGATGGAAGACTTAAAATTTGACATTGATGATTAAAACGGATTTCGAACGGCCGTGCGAAAAACAGCGATCGCACCGTGCCGGAGCGGTGATGTGTTCTTGAATCACCACTTTTCAATTGGCGTTGATACCAGTCGAGATTCCGTGACCTTGCCGTTCTCATACGAAATCGACTCTATCCATAATAATGATGATGATGATGATGATGATGACTTACCTGTAAAATAAAACATATGCTTCCACATTCGATATAAACGAGTCAGACACTGAAAAAAAGGAATAAGATAAGATTAAGGAAAAGGTACAAATAGATATATTCATATAAGATTCATATAACCACAAGGAGCGCTATTGAAAGTGGGTTGAGCTCGTTCAGAAATGTGGGAGCCAAGAAATGCTGCTTATCATCCTTCTCCAGAATGGAATCATCTTCCAGTACGCTCACTCACCAAGATCGTAAACGACATAATTTAATTTAGGTCATAATTATGAGTAAATGACTGCGCATTATAACCAATAATGTGGTTAGCTCAATATTATTTTCAAAGATTTAAACAGATAATAAGTATTTCTTTCAGAACCATATGTGACATACCTTCACTGACCCATGAATCATTGTACTCAAACCATTTGTTATTGATGTAATTTTTAGC